CCAAATGTGTGAGCACCGATGAAGTCTTAGAGAAAATTGAAACAAAAAACGAAACTTATATTTAATATCATGAAGAGAAAATTTAAATTTCTAGGGCATATAATGTGGAAAGAAGGTTTGGAAAATCTGATACGCACAGGACAGATTAAATGAAAAAGAGACAGAGAAAAATGGTGCATAAAATACTTAGCGAGCTTGAGTAAATGGATTACAGAAGAGGGTTTAGGGGAAATAAAAAAAAGACAAAATTCATTAAGAGCTGCAAAGAACAGGAAGTTGTGAAGAGTCATGATCACCAACGTCCTTAGGGGACATGAAACATGAAGAAAAAATGTGTATTAGGAGGAGTTTTTTTGTTTGTTTTTTTTTTGCTTGAGAAAGGCCTACAAAGTATATGTTCTTAAAGATCCATCGCTAATTGGGCTGGATATTAAAATTCGGATTATTGAATTAGGGGATTAGAAGAAGAAGAAGAAGAAGAAGAAGAAGAAGAAGAAGAAGAAGAAGAAGAAGAAGAAGAAGATGGAGGAGGAGGAGGAGGAGAAGAAGAAGAAGAAGAAGAAGAAGAAGAAGAAGAAAATTATTTAATTTATTTTATTTATGTATTTATAGTTTTTTTTGTATTTTCGACTGAATAAATAAGAAACAAATCACATGCAACATCATATCGTTAAATCAACGGTTTTTCCCTCGCGTGCACACCTTTGGCGCAATTTAGTCGACCATCTATTTGCCTATATAGACCATCCGGTGTCAACCTGTGAGGCGCAGATCTACACTTAGTGGCTAAAAGGTTACCTTTCTGGTTGACACACTAATTCAGCGGGTTTCTCTGATGTCACACTGGGTGTAAATATTTTCTGGCATAATCTGGGGGAGACACAAACCTAAGTTTAGCTTCGAAACTAACAAATGTAAATGTAAGAGTGCGTCATTTCTCATCATCTCACATCAGTTAAGCAACGATGATCCTAGAGTATTTAAATGGGTAAACACCCACGAACAATATATATATATATATATATATATATATATATATATATATATATATATATATATATATAATTTAAATAAAAACAGACCTCTTTAAGGTTCCATGTAATAAATTATTTCACCACAGCCCTTTTAAAGGACTGCGGATCATCAGACTGATTTTTTTTTTAATTATTTGCTCTGGATTGAGCAATCTGGATTTTATCCTCCTTGGATCTACCAATACGGATTACCTAGTTTTCATAAACTAAACACACACACACACACACACACACACACACACACACACACACACACACACACACACACATATATATATATATATATATATATATATATATATATATATATATATATATGTATATATATGAAGAAATATAGTCTTAAAGGGTGTTATATTTATGGGATAACGTGCTCAATATCAGAGATAGAGCGTGTGTAAATATGAAAGTGTGTTTCATGCTAGACGCAATCGCGTCTAGCATGAAACAAACTGTCACCTCTAAGTGTTGACTTCTATGTTCACTTTTATATATATATATATATATATATATATGACAGCCACGTGTGATCAGTAATTACTCAGGGTAGGCAGCTTGTGAACTTTATGTAGTAAATATACAAAAATACAAAATATCTGGCATTTTATGCATAATAATCAGAATAAACTTCATAATTTTGTTGGATTAGGTGCCTATTATGCCACAAAAGGCAAATATAGCCACTGGTCTATTTTATTCTGGGTAGCTACTACCTAATTTGTTTACAGAGACGGCACATCCCAGCACGAAACCATCTTAAAATTTTAGGATATGAAATTAATATACAGTGCGTCGGAAATTATTATGCAAATCACATATATATCAATAACTCGAATTTGCTTTGAACAATATTTGTTAAATTTTAAGTGATTAATTATGACGACAAAACAAAGTTTCAGTTACATTTTTGCATGGTTTCAACACGTATTATTGAAAATGATTTATTATGAAAACTATACGTGAATATGTAATTTGCATAATAACTTCAGACAGGGCGTATTATGTACATTGGTGTATTGTAATAGTTATTGCAAAGTTAGTATGCGGATAAAGAAATTGGCATAATATAGGTTGAGATACTTTTTTCCAAGTTGGTCCAAAATGTTAATCTAAAACCTTGAGTCATATTCTTAAAAATCACGTCAGATTTACATGAACCTCATGAATGGCACGAAACTCTTTCATATTTATGTAAACTGTCGGCTGCATCTCAGATCAATGATTGTCATCTAGGACATAAATGAATGGAATCGTATGTTTATGTAAATAAGAGGAGTTCAGGGCTATATCGAAGGGCAGAGCCTCGTCTGGGGAGGTAACTAAACCCGACCCCGTTATTACGGGGAAATTTTGCCCGAGCCTACGTAAAACCGGACATACCACATCCCGCTCTGTAGGGAGGCTATGCCGAAGAGCAGAGTCTCGTTTTGGGAGGTAGACAAACCCGACCCCGTTATTAAGGGTTCTACGGGAAATTTTTACCCTGGCCTATGGGGTCGAAAAAACCTGCGTTAAACCGGACTTGTGCCACATCCTACTCTGTGGGGAGCTCGAGTAAATACCATTAGGTCTTAGCTACGTTCTAAGTTCTTAGTGCTTGAAGAACTCTCTGTCTTGGGGGATAGAGGAAATCAGACGAGGTTATGCCGAAGGGAAGGGTCTCATCTAGGGAGTTATACAAAGCCGATCTCGTTATTACGGAGTCTACGGGGAATTTTTACCCGGGCCTACGCATTCGGGAAAAAAAGCTCACGTTAAACCGGCCTTGTGCCATATCCCGCTCTGTCGTGTGCTTGGGTAAATACCGAGTTAGCATTAGGTCAGTATACCTTGGTGTAGTAAACCTTCTATTTCATTGCTTACCTACGAGTCTCCCTTATGTATTTTCCCTCCGTTATCTCGAAAACACGAGATACAAGAATGATTAAAAATGGCTTCAAGCGTATGTAGAATGTAGGTCTTACTGAGGACCATCCCACTTTGAATCTCGGCGCTACATGATCACAAAGATAACAGAAGACACATCACTTGAGTACTTTCAACAGCAGCAGCAACGAAATTGGGTTGCGCATATAACTTAAAGACAAAAAAATTGATATAATCAAGATGTTGATGTTCCACACTACTTTAAACTAAAGGTTAGGAAAGAAACGCCCATTTCTACTGGAAAGTGTGATAACAGTTAGTGGATTAGAGAAAGCCCCCTTCCTGAAAAATTGTTCCAGTAGAAATATTTTATCAATTTCAAACAAGAGTATCACCGGCTGCATGGTCAATAAATGCCGAATATTTCCTGATAAGAAAGCGGCTAATATTACCATTACCATTAGAGACTAGGAGAACATACTACACTTTAATCCTAGCTCGGTGGCCAGAGAGTGAAGAAAAACCTGACGTCTGTAGCACTGGCTGCTTGGTCAATGAATGTCGAATGTTTCCTTATAAGGAAACGGCTAATATTACCATTACCATTAGAGATTAGAAGAGATACTACCCTTTAATCCCAGACCATTACTATTTTATTTAATTTATGTTAAGTATAGAAATTGAAGTCATTGGCTATAAGTCACTGGCTCACGAGGCAGAAAGATGCCAAAAAATTATATAAACTACATCCTATATATATATACGATCTATAAAAATCTATAAAAATAATATTAACAATCGATAAACTGCTGAAAATTG